CCCCCCAATGGAACGTAGATCCCAAAATTTAATTATAAAAAAATTTATATTTGTAAATCAACCGATACACCCCAATCAATGCCTAAATATGGTACCTTTGTAGTCTACGTTATCGTTATATATTCATTAGCGTTTACTATAATTGTGTGACGCTAAATAAATTAGCAATTGCCATATTTAATCAGAATATATTATGGCGAAATAAAATTGATGGGTTCTTTTTTAAGATTCAATAATTGAAAATTTAACTTAAATTATAAGCTTATGTAAATAATGCCACTTTTTTTTAAATAATAAAAAAAAAAGGAGAGAAAAATATCGAGATTAATTAAAATTTTAATTTATTAATTGATAATGAAATTATCAAAGTTTATAAAAAATATATTAATAGTTTTTTTAGAAATCATTACCTTCTCCATTCTTTGCTCACCAAATCATCAACGACGTAAAAACTTTAAAGAGCTATCATGGAATCTGCCTCGTCTTTCACATTTTTCAAACTATAAAATGTTCGCTGACTTTGATGTTTTGTCACCAATTCAGACCGATCCGCCGCCCCAATTGTTTGAACGTCATGAACACGTCATAAAACCAACCCATTTAGATCGTATAGCAGAGAATCAAACAAAACCAATACCAACTAATAAATTTTATGAAAACTTAATATTAGATAGTGGACAAAATCCTCTCTGGCCGTTGCCTTATGGGTTGAGATGGGAGCAAGGACAAAATGGCGATTTTTATGGATTCAGTGTTTCTCACGTTGATGATGATAAGAAGGTTCGTGCCTCAGAGTAGAAATTGCTTATGCTAGATAAATCATGATTACACTAATATCGCCGTTTAAATAATCTAATACGTAAATAGGTTTTTGGACCAGACCCAAATCAAGATCCTACAAGATTTTACTATAGTTTATACACCCCAACTATCGTATTCTCGGCCAAAGAACTTGGAAGTGACCATGAGCTAGGATTATCGGATATATCAGGATTCTCTTCAACCATCAACCTGTTTCCTCATGGTAACACCAGCTCTTATATCTCCTTTCCGGTCTCCCGTGGAATGTCATTTATCACAGCAGAATATAAAGACTTAACTCCGTTATTCCATTCAGAATCGGGATTTAAAACAATAGAGTTACCACAGAAAATTGCTAATGGATATACTAAATGGAAGATCCTTTTAAATGATGATAGTATGTGGTTGTTGTATGCTAATGGAAACTTGACATTGGCAAGCTCATCGAACCAATTGGAAGCTACCTCAGGACAATATTCAGGGATTATTCAAGTGACTAAAGTGCCCGCTGGAAATCAGGAAGCCGAATCGGTGTTTGATAATCATACTGGAATTT